AAAATTATTTACAGTATATTATACTGTATAAAATACAGTATAATTTATTGTAAATATATAACTGTGTAATACTTAAATATTTACTGTATAATAAATAAATTTAAAGTATATAGAAAATTATTTACAGTATAATTTTCTTTTTTTCTTTTTTTCTTTTTTGTATTAAATCGTACGTTACCACAAATTGTTCCAAAAATGAAAAATACGAGTAAGCTGATGGTAAAAGTAATACGCAATAATCTAAATCAGGAAAACACTCGAATGCAGTTTCCAAAAATTCACGTGTACCACGATTGCCAATGTCATTGCGTACGGCAAAAATTTCAACAACAAATGCATTTATTTTACCATAATAAATTGGAACTGTGAGTAACTTTTGTTCGACATTTGTTGATTTTGATTCGATCAAATTATAATCCAAAACTATGATAAATTTACGGTTATTTATTTAAATAAAATTAATCAATTTAAAATATATTTATTAATGATGATTATTATTTAATCATCAATTTATTTATTCTTACTGGGTATTTGACTGATTGTATCAGTAAACGCCATGTTGATGTTCAAATGATCGATTATCGATGATCCGCCATTTTTATCAGAATTTGGAATATTTATTATTGAATTTTGATCATTAGATTCTTCCAAAGTTTCATTTTTTGACAAATTTTTACGCAACGATGATCGAATTCCATTGGTAATTGTCAAATTTTTGTCTTTGTTCTATAAATATATAAAAAAAAAAACAAACCCACACCACGTGCGTCAAATCAACGTACAATTGATTGACGTTTAAAATAAATGTTTAAAAAAAAAAACATAGAATTAATTTATGTTAGAGAAAAAAAAAAAATAGAAATAGAAACATAGTAAATGCTTACTGTATTTTGTTCATCACTGTTCCAAGATTCACTGATACGAACGTGTTTTTTTTCTTTGGGTAATGACACCTTTCGTTTATAAATTTCTTTAATTTCCATATCATTCGTTTGAGATTTTTCATCTATTTTATGTTTACAAGGACAAATAAATAAATAAATTATAGGATTTTTATTTGACAGTGCAAAAAGAATGGTGAATTATTTTACTAACCATTTTCTAAATTTGTTCTAACCTCAATTTTATCATTGACCATTTCATTTGATTTGTGTTCGAGTTTCAAATTAACCCTAAATAATTTTTTTTATATTTAAAGATATAAAATTATAAATTAAAAATATAAATTATAAAAAAGAATTATTAATATTTATATTTAAAAAAATATATATATATATATCTATATATTTTATACAGTTATAATTAAGTTACATTATATACAATATAATTTTCTATATATATAGTATAAATAAAAAATAAAATATAAAAATGTAAATAAAATAAAAATAAAAAATAAATATAAATAAAAATAAAATAAAATAAATAATAAAAATATAAGTATAAATAAAAATAAAATAAATAATATAAATATAAATAAAATTATAAAAAATAATTACATAAAATTATATATAATTGTATTATTAAAATTTAATTATATTAATATTAATAATAATAATAAAATAATATTAATGATAAAATATATTAACTACATATAAATTATAAAATTAGATAAATTATTGTGTATAAATTTAATATATATTATTTTATATTAATTATAAAAACTGTATAATATATAATATATTTATACGGTCTTATTTATCTATATATAAATATATATATATATATTAATAAATATTTACTAACGATAATAAATCCTGTACGTTTGCAGAAAATGTTTCAGACAAAATTTCACTTGTACTTTTTTGCAATAATATATCATTATTGTCATCATTTTCATGTGATTTTCTTAATCCACCATAAACAGTTAATTCAAAATTGTCATTCAAAAGATCTACATCGATGATAGAGTTAAGGCAAATAACACCAGTAGTCAAACCATTGTCATCTTCCGAAACGATTAATTGACGATGACCGTCAGGATAACGAATCATTTCACTTATGTAATACTCCCCATACAATTCTTTTACATAGGATGAATCTGCATCTATTATCGGTATTATGTCGTCGTTATCTTCCTCCCTGTATAATCGAGACTCATACCAATATAATATATATATTTTTTTTTAATGTGTAATATTTTTTTATAATTATTACATCTCAATGTACTCTTTGTATAGAAAAAGAAAAATATATAAAATTAAATGAATTAAAAATGAAAATAAAACGGTTGTTGAAATAAAACGTTAATTATTTATAAATATAAATCAATGTTCATAATATGGATATAATAATTCTCAGGGATAGAACGTAAAAAAAATAAAAAATAAAAAATAAAATAGAAAAATATTAAATATTAGTAAATACAATATTATTTTATTACATATTTTTATATATAATTTATTATTATTATATTATATAATAATATTATATTTATTATTAATTAATAATTTATTATTATATTTTATATATAATAATAATAATAATAATAAGTAAACTATTTTAAAAAAATTACTAATACAAAAATTCATGAAGAAAAATATATAATATGGTCATAAATAAAATCTTTGTAGTCTACTTCTATTTAAAAATAAAATAAAAATAAAATAGAATTTAATAAACTAAAGATTATAATAATAATAATAATAATAATAATAATAATAATAATAATAATAATAATAATAATAATAATAATTACACAGCACGACGAATCTGTAATCTTGGAATAACACTGTGTCGTGTAATCAAGTATAATGTTTGCACCATAAAAGTATCCTTGAAATTGATTGGAACTATTCTAGTCATGTGACGTATGAAAGAATTTTCTAAAGAAATAAAAAAAAAAAAAGAACATATCGATAAAGAATGAGGAAGAAGAATACACATAATAAAAGGATAAATAAAAGATCTTGAAATGAAGAATCGATATCAGTAGTAAACATGACTAACCTAAGTATAAATTCTATGTATCTTATGGAAAATTTACCTGGTTTTATCTTAGGTGGGAGTAAAAGAATAATGTGAAAACAATGAACATCCATATCGAATAAAGCTATAAGAAGATATTCAAAAAATATGTCGGTATAATGGTTGTCCCATACGAGACAATGTATGAACATTGTATCATTTTCTTGAATATTTTCAATGCTAATATTAAAATAAAATAAATTAATAAAATACAGAAATATAAATAAAAGAAAGATTATATATATATATATATATTGTATAATAAAAATAATATTTGTAGAATATATAATTATATACATTAAATATCTTAATTGGGATCTCTGGCAGGGGCGCAGCGTAGCAATTCAACCTGTCTACTCTAATTTTGAATTTACCCACCAGATAGCGTATTCAAGTGCTAGAGATCCCACGTGGCATAGTAGCAATTCGACATATCTACTCTAATTTTGAATTTAGTCACCAGATAGAGTAGTCAAGTGCTAGAGATCCCACGTGGCATAGTAACAATTCGACCTATCTACTGTAAT